CAGCCTACCACCAGTGCAGGACATGTTAAACACTTCACCTTTCATAAAATCCATAGTCAATGGTCCATTCTCACTCAACATAGAATTAATCTTTGATGCTATCAAGATTATCAAGATACATAAATCACTTTTGGCAATGTCTGGTGATAAAACCTTCATTGCAGCTGATTGTGATCATAACAAGCCAGGAATTTATAATAAAAACTCACCTGAGCAGGCTGAGCTAGAAATGAATGATAATGAAGATGACAAGAAGGTGAATAAGGATGAGTCTCAACTTGGAGCAAATGCAGAGCTCAGCATGTGTCCTGATGACATGGGACATGTATTGGAACTCTGAAAGCCACCTGAAATTTCTAAAGCCACAAGTACACTCAAAAAGATTCAAATCACCCTGAAGCCACCATGAGACACTGGCTGTGTCTATAAGGATACTGAGCTGAAAGACTGGACAAAACTACAGCTTGAATCAATGGCATCATTCCTCACCAACTACACCAATCCCTCCTCTCCTAGATACCAGGCTTAGATGGCTGCATCATTGTTGACAGTAAATGGAAAAGGAAGGTTGGGTTGGTGGGTGCAGTGTCTTCTTACTCAAGATGTCATATACAAAAGTGGTCAAAAGGCAATGACACCACAATTACACTTTTGATAAGACTGAATGCTGCTAATAACCTCAATTTCATGGTGTAGAGAATGAGATTCCTCCAGGCGTATATCACATATATTTCAACTCATGATGATTGGTACAGTGCATCACTCACTATCTATGACTGTCCTGCAAAACATGCCAGAGGTGTGACACTTTCCCACACTATGTGACACATTCCCACGCTTGGTTGCACTTTGTTGCACAGCATCCCAGATCCTCCATCCATTGTCCAATCAGTCTCCTAGTGAGTCCCTTTTCATCTAGTAGTCAGAATCTATCATTATGAGTTAGCATCCATCAGAGTCGTCACCCTAGTCCTCAGCAACAGTCCATTATCATCAGTCTCCTTCATAGCAGTCCCAGTTTATACCTTCATGACATCCACCAGTCTTTATATGTTCACACACTCCTTGTACCTTATTCCCATGCTTTGTGCTCCTACACACTCTGTATTCCCACACACATGCTCATCACACTTCACCAGAGTTGACCCAGTGTCACTTTGTGGATCTTGCTTTCCTTGCTTCCCCTGATGGTCAAACATATTACCTGGCACACTTCAACCAACACTTAGAGAGTTAGAGGCTTTTCTCTCACTCCAGAGTGAGAGTCTTCTTTCTTTCTTCTGCTCTGCAAGCCAGCAGAGTTTTTGAACCTTCAATGGTCTACAACTTTTCTTCTTTCATGGTAGATAATGTGTCGTTTGTAGGAGGTTACCTGCTATATAGCCTGGTGCTTTTATTCTACCTGGTTGTAAATGGGGTTCTACAATGGAAGTCTAGCTTTATCTGGCAAGACAGATAATGTAGAATATGTAAATGAGTTTTATTTAGTCTTGTACTTGACTGGACAAAAGAAGAGATTTTGTGAGTGGGTCTTTCTAGTCCTAGGATCAACTAGATAGAAAATAATAAATTAGTGCATACTATGCACAAAAATATGCAGCAAATACTGCTGGGAGCTTCCCCTGCCTTGATATACTAAAGGACTTATAGAAAGGAAGATAAAAAGACTAGTTGGATTGTCCTTGCCTAGATTGCAAAGGAGTTAATCCAGGAGGAATAAATGAGCAGATAGTCTAACAAAGGAGTTTGCAAATAGAAGTAATAAGGCTTGACTTGATACTCCTAGTCCTCTGAAACTATATGTCAAATGCACACTAGGCAATCCAGGCACAATCAAGAAAAGAGTAGATGATCTCAGAGCAAGTAAACTAGATGTACTTGGTCTCCACTTCCTGGCTAATACAAAGAGTGTCAATATTAGAGAAAGTGAAAGAAGTGGAGGACTCTTTTTAGAGTAAAAAAAAGTTCTTGTTTTTGTGGGTGGAGAAGAGCTCACTTTAAATACATGAGATGGGAGAAACTGTATAGTATTAAGAAATAAGGTTAGAAAGAGAAATAACATCAGAGTTGCATCATAAATGACCTCATTGTGGAGCAAAGTGGAGCAAAAGTGAAGCCAGGTGGAGCAGAACATTCTAGCATCCAATGACATCATAGTATCCAACAGAATATTAAATTTCTGTGGAGTCATATGACATCATCATAACATCATATCCTGCAGGTACATTTTGTGAAGTCTCTGGGAGGTCAAAGAATCAAGTATGTAAAGAAATGAAAGCAAAATGTGGGCTTTTTAGATAGGGTTTTGGTAGGCTGTTATCTTTTCTCCTTGATTATTTCTAGTCAAAGTAAATAAACCAAAAGATAGGCAATAACCTAAGCTTTTATATGACTTTTCTTTAAAATACCATATTTTTGCATGATTGGAGTATGCAAAGTGAAATATTGCACTTGAGTCTATACTCAAAGTACATTTTGTGTAGTCTGAGGACTTGTCATATCTGCATATCCAGATCTCAGATCTGATCCACATCTTATCCCCATCAAACATCTCATCATCCAATCTGTCCACTCATCTGGTCTGGTCCATAATTCATCTGAATCCACAACCAGTGCTCATCTCCTTTTGGTAATCCCCTGACTCTGGTACTTCAGTTATCTGTATATCTGTCCTGCTCACTGATCCATTACCTATGCTTCATTTCTGTTTCATTATGTGTGATCCATTCCTACTTACCAATAGACTATCCATATGCTTCATACATAGCCTTGGATCCTGCTGATTGATCATTCCATTAGATACCTATAGTATATAGCCTCCTGTAAATCTCTGTAACACCTCAGTTCAAATATCATCTTAGTTCTGCTCATTCCTGTCCTCCGGACCTCAGTATCTCTACTCTCATCACCCTCTGAGACTTAGGATTGATTCCTATAGTCTATCAGTATCCGCCTCTGTCTATGACAGTCCACTACCATTAGTTTCTAGTCCAGACTCATCTGGATTAGCCTTACAATACTTATCCTGCATCTGGAAGTCATCCAGATCCACTACACTACTCATCCAACCCTCTGGACGTGTTAGTCTTGTCTTCCTGAAATAAGGGGCAATACTCGGGTAAGGGGCACAGTGCATGAGCTGAGGCCAAAGCCCTTAGGATCCATTTAGCCTTGAGTATGACCTTAACAGGACTAAGCTAACAGACTATGGAAATGTGGGCTGATATGTCATATACATGTTCTGCATGATTTCCCAAATCATACAGGACAGTGAGTAGGTATTTGTTTGATATTGTTTTAGATTAACATTCCTTTGTTTATTAGACTATGTGGTACATTTTCATAAGTCCCTCAAGTGCATATGTGTTAAGGTTGTGTGCTCAAGAGGGTCAGATCACAAGGGCTTGGCCTCAGCTCGTATGCTGTACCCCTTGCCTGAGTATGTGCCCTTAATTTCTGGGGGCTAGAACAGTCATCCGGAATTTCCAGGATTTGACTAGGGTGGATAACAGACGTCCAGATCTGAAATGTGAGATAAATCTGATGGATGTCTAGATGTTACTTGGACAAGCAGATAAGACTAATCTGGATAAAGTCCAGACTAGAAAATAACAGAGGATAGACTACCCTAAGGTAGAGCCAGAGATGTAGTCTAGGATACAACCCTCAGACTCAGAATATGACAGGAGACTTGGCTCAAGTCTGGAGGACGCAGGAATGAGCAGGAACTAAGATGATATTCAAACTGAAGTATTTCTGAGAGTTACAGCAGGTTTATATACTGTAGGTTTCATATAGGAATCAGTCAGCAAACACAAAGGCTATGTACAAAGCATATGCAAAGTCTATTAGTAAGTAGGACAGATCACCAATAATGAATACTGGAAATGAAATGTATGTAACAGATCAGTAATCAAAGGAAAACATAGTTAACCAGAGTCCAGAGACAGGGGAAGTCTAAATGGGGTTAGGCACTGATATAGGGTTTGGATTCCAGAAGGAAGATAAAGATAGATCAGATCATTGGAGATATCTGGAGAAGCAGATTTAGAGTTGAGAGTCTGGAATGGCATATGACAATATGGAGGGAAGATATGTGTGACACACCTGTAATGCTGCTCTACATGACATGACCACAGTGGAAGCCACACATATTGCCTATGGCTGCTTACAGGTTTGATTGCTTCAAACTTACATGCTGATAAGTTGCTCAATTTTATTCAGGTTTATTTTGGTATCAGTGTTACAAACACTTGGTATGAAATCAATATGCCAATAAATAGTGACACTAGCCTGATTGGAGGCTACTGGCTTAAGTATTGCATATTAGCTCACTTGTGATTGTTATAATATATACAAGGTCCCTGTGTTTCAATACATTCAAGTAAGACAGTCTTGTCTGGGGCCTTGACTTTGCCAGTACTCCTTCCTCACTGTCATATCTGTCCCAAATCAATGCTTACCACCCATACTAGTATTTAGGAATTTTGTCTATAACATGGATCTTTTGCATGCTAGATAGTGACACAGCAATACCTAAAATTCAAGCCAATCATCACTGGCAGGTCACCCTAGACCTCACCAACACACACCAGTTGTGGCCTTTTAACCCCTATTAGTTGCAAGATGTATATCAGAACATGCCTACAGAAGCAGTTATGGCTAGCTTTAGTTCCTAGGACATTTTTTGAACCAAACCATCCTGATAATGCCAGAGCAGCATACCCAGCACTGCTCTGACTCAGGGTCATACATTGATGATTGTTGTGTTCATCACCTATGCATTTGATGAGATGCTCCTTCAAGACATCAACTGCCAAGAGTGCTATCTAGTCCCTCTCAATTGTGCTACTGTCAAGGAATCAACATAAATTCTATAAGTTTTGTTTTATGCTTATGTTAATCTCATCCTTATGTAGCTGGGTTATTTGTAAGGGGAAAGGTTGATAAAAATCAATGGTATGTCATTCTGCAACTAGAAGATTTCAAGTGACTCAGTCATGGACCATGTTGAATTTGCTGTCACTGGCACTCCTACTAATGACAACAACAACAACATCTATATGCAGAGTAAACCTTGTGTTTCTCACTCCTTTATCATACCTCCTGGTCCTGACATGCCCTCTATTCCTACTGTGCCCTCTATTCCTACTGTGTCATCTATTTCTACTGCACTGTCTATTCTTGCTACACACTCTATTCCTGCTACACCAATTATGCCTAGCTTTACTACCATGCAGACCTCCTTCACTTCTTCTATACCAGCATCCTTACCAGCTGTGAAACACAAGGCTGATGTGAATGACAGCTCATGTAATGAGTCCCATCCATCACTATCTTCAAAAGGAAAGGAGTTATTGAAGTTACAATGTCTAACAATGCTGCTAGCATTGGAAGACTTGGGAGGGAAAGATGTCAATAGCATTGCTAACATGATATCAGCATTTCAGGAGATAATTACCAGACATTTTGTTGAGCCCATCCCTCTCCTCAAGCAGAGAGTGATTCTCTAGGTGTAAGAAGAAAAAGAACTTGATGCATATGAGATTATTACTATGATTACTTACTTCCAATCTGACATTTGCATGGCTGATTCATACCTCAATATCAAATGTGACACTGTATGGAAAATATTTCTTGCAAAATATCTACAGGAGTACAGAGAAGGGAAATCACACCATAATTAGCTAGTATTCAATACATTGTGCAAGAAAATTACCTTTGCACAGGTGGCATTACTTTCCCTCTTCAGCATCTCTCTGCGAGATAGTCTATCCACATAGACTGTATGAGGTGATTACAATTATTGTGTGCACATGTCCTTGCAGCTTCAGTTGGAGGGCCATTGGCAAGTATGCCAGTGTACTGAACACTCCATTTATCTGACTCAACATGGTGATAATCCAACAAGTTATCAGCATTATGAATACAGATGATGTTGTAGACAAGACAGTGCTGGAGGGATACAAGACTGAATTTCTGAATTATATTTAGGTGAGAGTTGAATAATACAAAAATGTGCTCTATGACATTCCATGATAAGGCACAAGTAGTTTGTTACACATAATAAATCCAGCATCTGTAGGGTAGAATTTTCCTGGTGGGATGGTAAAGTCAGTCAGACATGCTGTGTAATAAACATGAGCATCTGCTGCAGACCCCTAGAAACCACTGAGCATGTATATAAAGCCTATATCAAGTTGCAAGCAGCAAGACAAGTTTGTGTCAAATTGCCCTTGTAGTCACAAGTGGCTTGATAATCAGAGGCTGAGGGGTGACACACAATGTGAGTGTCATTGATAGTACTGATAACATTGGCAAAGTAAGGATAGAACTTTCTCATTTTAAGGATAGTAGGGGAAGTGGAAGCCTGTGGATTAGGGAGTCAGACATTGGTGGTATATACTGAATGGGACAAGAATGCGATTAGAATCCATTTGAAAAGTCTGTCTAGAAAGTAGGAGTGAGTCAGTATGATTAGATCCAAGGTTTTGGGGGGCATACTTTGATATAGTATCATTTGAACATTAAAAGCACTCACACAGGCACACAATAAGACCAGTAACACAAGCATATAAGAAGATGGCCAGTTGCTCCTCTAGCTTCACATTCTTTGAATCATCTAGTCCACTCTCACAAAGCACATTTAACAATACAAAAAATACATGATGGTGTATGCCAAGCTTGTATTGTATACATTCAGGATACCCATTGAGAAGCTCATTGACCCAACTAATCTCAGATAATACCAAGGTGTGATATGGCTCCCCATCATAATTGATCCCCATATAGCAGTTGTATGCATCCACTGCAATATTGACTACTTCAGAGGCTGATATAATCATGGTCTGAAAACCATTGATGATCACTCATAGGCAATCTGAGTCTGTCTCTGTCATCTGGTGAGCCCTGAGCATCCGATTTGTTACCCAAGCTATATCCATTATTTGCATCAGAAGGGTCCTGGTAGTGCCAAAGGTGAGAAAATATGGTATTAGTACAGCATGTATAGCATGTAGTATGAGTAGCCTTTGTGAAAAACAAATTAGCCTATGTGGTCTATGATAATGAGATCTAGATGTGATCAAAATTATGGTACTAACAATTTAGTGTATGTATGCTATCAGATTGATGATCCCTTTAGAGTTTGCATATGTCAGCTTATCTCCAAGATACCATCATGCCAGGTGAATGGCTGTTTTTTCTGTTGTGCTGATACCTGAATTGGAGGGGGCATAAATAGATTGCAGCATAGGATGATACTAAGCCATTGGAAATATGTGCTTATACATCAGGCATTTGACTGAAGAATAATAAAGTGTTAGCTAGCTTTGTCTAATATGCAATGCAACAAATAAACATCATAATTGCAGATCACATGATAAAGAAATAAATAGGTGGACTGCACTGGTGGGAACTACAAAAGCTATGATATTGATGGACCTATGGTAGTAAAGTATAATCTACTGACAAATTATTGAATTTCTACCAGGTGTGTCTGGTTTTAGATATGTAGCTTCTGATGGCAGTATCTATAATCATCAACAGTTTTTCAACACACAACACTGAGTTATCATTAGGGTTTAAAAGTCCAGTTGTGCAACCAGTGAAAGATCATAGACTGAACTGTACCACAACTTTTTAAGACCAAATTTTCAGTCTCAGTTGCCCTTAATTTAACATCTTACAGTTGCCAGTTGCCTCATTTGACCTCTAATATCAGACCAATGAAAAGTTGACTGTAACCAGTCTATACTGGGACCAGTTGCATGAAACAGAAATATTTACCTATGCAAATGAACATGACTTGGATAGTACAGACTACTACAAAATGGTGTAAAAGATATAACTTGGCTAGATAGTTGTTAAAATACCTAGCCAATATATTGTACTAGTTCTGCCTAGCTGCTACACTTGCAAGCAAGATGTCATATCCCGTATGCCAGACATAGATCCCATCATATTCCCACGCTTTCCGGACCTATTTCCAGACCCCATATCCAACTCATTCCCAGATCCCCTTCTGCTGTGTGCTCCACACCTCAGCAGGATCGACTCCGCTCCAGATTTACCCCTGAGCTCTGGACCTCCAGATCTTTACTACTAGCCTGATCCATACACCCCTATCCTGTCCACCCCATGCATATTCCATCCAGCAAGACATCCGGACTATACCTCCTCTCAGATTCCAGACTACATCCACCACCTCACATATCTCAGTCCTGTTTCTGCCCTGCCTTCTGGATCCTCAGATCTCTGGACCTCTGGATATTAACTGTTACTATCTCCAGACCTATTCCCACCCCCTGTCCAAGATCCTGTGCTTATCCCCATTTAGGCATCTCCACCTTTCTGGTTCTCAGTTATCTCTGTTTCCGTCTTGCTGATTGATCCTTGTACTAGTCTTCATCTCTGAGTTCATTTACTTATGTTCTGTCTTACTTACCAATGTGTTTCCACATGCTTGTACATAGCCTTACTCTGTTGCTTACTGATCCTCTCAGATATCCTCTAGTATATAACCCCTGTACAACTCCTGTAGAGTCCTTAGTCTGAATATTATCTTAGATCTGTCCTCATCACCTTAGATCTGCCCAATCTTCTTCCGGACTTCAGTCTATCTGAGTTTATCCATTTCCATAAGGCCTAGGGATGGATTCCCTAGGCCAGAATTCCAGACCTTTGGATTTGTCCCCTATATCTCTGTCCCAAGTCTAGGGATTGCTTTCCTAGGCTGGAGTCTTGCCTTTCTGGCACTTACCCTCTCTCTGGACTTTGGTCCACTTCCTGTCTCTCCGACTCTACCTAAGGGTAGTCTACCTCTGTTTGCTTCTACATCAGACTTCATCCAATGTAGCCCCTATTCCTTCCAGACCTCCAGACCTCCTGTCCCTCATACCTCCAGGCATCCTGTCCTTTGGATGTTCCATCCTCCTAACCCTCAGACATCCTGTCATCTGGACCTTCAGTCCTCCTGTCCTCTATACTCTGGACCTCCTATCCTTCCATCCTGTTTCCTGTAGAAGTATTACCTTGCAGTGGGAACTCTTCTGAGCACTTCCTGCATTCCTCCGGACATTTACCATGCTCCTCTGGAAGTCCTCTAGCACTCTCCACCAGAGTAGCCAGCCTCCAGAAGTCCTTCAGACTTCATCAGACCATCATTGGACTTCCTCTGAAATGAAGGGCACATACTCAAGTAAGGGGCACAGCATATGAGCTGAGGCCAAGCCCCTCTGAGTCAGTCTCTCTCTCCCTTGAGCATGATTCTTAACACAAGAACATTTAACCTGAGTGATCTGCTGTCTAGTCAAGTCTAATAATCAGTACTACACAAGAAGTTGAAAGTCTGAAGGTCAGACTTTAAGTCCAAAGGTATGATGCAAAGTCCATGGCAAGGGACCCACTCCTTTCCCCTCTAGTCTTCTTATTTATCTTATGTACAGAATGATAAATATCCTGATTATTAGAGTTGCACATGGGAACTATACCAGGCCCAGGCATATCATTGGTGGGATTGTTGGTGTATGCTGCCACCTGGTTGTCTTCTGAATAAGACAATATTTGCATTCAAAAGTCCTCCTCACTCTCAGTCCAAATACTAATGTCACTGATGGTGCCATTGTTACCCACAGAAGAACTTAAAAGTGTGATGTGTTTATGGGAAATGGTCTCAGATCCTGTGGTAATCATGCTCCCCTCAGACTCATGTGGTACAAATGACCTATGGGGTTATTGGCAGTAGATAACCATTACCACATTGCACCTTGATGGCAACTTACCAGATCAGGAATCTAAGTAAACATTTGTCTATTAGCAATGCCCAAAGGACTACCCTTAGTTAAAATTAGGTGAACTTGAGATTGGCACAACCATGTGCTTAACACACCCTAATACTCTGCTACACACCTGCTCTCAAAGACTTGACAGTGGTCAACATGCAGCCAAAGTGGCTCTACTTATCACACTTAGTAAAAAGAGCCTTTGTTCATTACAATCACTCATACATCACACCACTACCTTGTGCACTACCTTACACAAAGCAATTCTCTTATTGCATCCAAGCAGTACCCAAGAGGCTCAACTTGTGCCCTAACAATGCACAAAGGCACTAAGACAATTCTTAACCTATAAAACTCTGATATACAGACCAATGTCCCTTTGAAACTCAACCACCTATACATAGTATAACAACACCCTATTCTTTGCAATGCCCTCTGATAATAACACTCCTACATTACCAACCACTCAGACTAAGTCAACTACCACTGTCACTCTCCTCATGCACCATATAAATACAGACTTCCATGCTAGTAAGCACACTCACACTGTATCTCCTACGCCTGACGCTCCTTCTAACACAAATGGAAATAACACCCCCTCTCCACCCAAGAATATCACCTCTAATGTAACCTTCACTACCAATGCAGACAAGTGGCCCAACTTAGAGTGACCTGCTCAACAGCCTATTCTCTCTAGTCAGTGGAACTATCTCTAATCCAACTCTTCCATGATGATGGAAGTCTCAGGTATATACTGAACATAACTCCAAGAAGGAAATCTAACTTACTGCCCATCCTAGTTAACAGGGTGAGGACCCTAGAAAGTGGCTACAAAATCACAGTCACCCCAGCAGGTGGCTTCCCAATCCCTCAACTGGGCCAATCTACCTGGCACAACATCTCTCAAATCCTAAAAGAGAAGGTGCCAAAGCATGGGTGAGAACTTACAGGGCCAAGTATGAGAGTAATGCACAAGGCACTATTGCAAAGCCAAAGGACATGATCACTAAAATTGTTGGTGAATCAGATGCTGAATCCTCAATCATTAGCACCCCACTGCAGCAATAGAGCTTATTGAATGCCTTCCACCTCCATGGCACTTCCTGATCCTGGGGATGCCACCTGAAGCAATTGAGAGGCTTCTCCACCTCCATGTATGCTCCTCTGTGGACATATCTTGTTTCTTCATCCCTTTCAAGCAACCCCTTCCCACCTACATATTTACCCTAGAGAACTTTTCCTTCCCAGACTCTGAATCTACTGATAAAAAGATTGCTGAAATTATCAAAGACACCATCCACTCTAACTGAGATGTTATGCAATTCATTGATGACAATATCCCCCTCCCAGATGCAGAAGCAGCCCTACATACTATAGAATCAGTAAGGGTTTTAAGCTTGAGCCTTATCCTCTCAAAAATGGTCAAGGAAACTATCTGAAATGTCTATTTCAATTCCCCCCCTGCCTTTACACTAAAGCAATACTTCAATTGGACTAATATAATGTACATGTTCTTCTACTTCTCTGAAAACTACAGATATGGCACTGCTTGTCAAGATACCCAATTTGTCTATATAAAATATAGGTCCTTTGACCATCTTACAGGCTTATGCCTCTTCCTGAGAATCCCTGGGCAGTTCAGCTCATCCATTCCAGAAGATGTGGACAATTCCAACACTACCTTAGATAATCACGCCATGTCCAGCCATGGCAGGGGAGCCTTTAATGACAGTCCTAGCTGTGGGAGCAGAAGGTTTACTAGAGATTATACCCATGGACACACCAAGAGAGGTAGAGGAAAGACAAACTAATCTCCTGAACACATTGATTTCCATAAGCTAAAATAGTGTCTTGAGCTCCTAACAGCTCCTGTATATACTATACCCCTCTGTATCACATGTACCTACAACATGATATATCCTTCAATCAAATCCTGTCATGATTCTCCCTCTATATAATGATAAAGGGAGGCCTGTCCAAAAACCAGAACAGGTTCACAACACAACATGGATAAGTCTACAGGAGCTCAAATTTACTGCTAGAACAGGAAAGCTCCAGACTGTAAACTTGAAACAGCAGCCTTTTTAGGCCAGGGATGTGCTGAGATGCTGAAATCATGGATGGGCCTTTTTTATCACCTTATTAAATAAAAGGCTCCCCTATGACATAGTTCCTCCTGGGATAATCCAATGTGGTCCACTGCTATGATTAAGGCATGGTGCTATATTTTAATTGCTAACACTATAACACAAACATCACAATCAATTAACACAGTCTACATACATAGCAATGGTTACAGGTCCCACAGATCCAGAGAAGGATGCACTTTACCCATCAGCCATCCCCTTGAGGAAGGAACAGCAGGTTATAGAGATAGGCACCAGAACACTGTTACTGATCTACCTTCTTCCCCTCTAGCTGCTAATTCTCAAACCTCCAATGAACACACCACTCAATGCAACAGCATAGTCTATGAAAATGAGTCCCATCACTCCTCCAGAAACTTATGACCCTTACATGGGTCAAGCACATGACACAAGCACAAAATGCTGTCCTAGAGGCAAAAATTCACATGTGAACATTAAAGTCACAACCCTAAACATGAGGGGAAGATGGTATAATAGTACTGATAAATGATCTAACATCAACCAGATTATGAAGGATCAGAAACTTGGCATACTGGCACTGCAGGAAACTCACCTGACCAAGGAAGATGAATCCACCCTGAACTCTACCCCTGGATTAAGAATCCACATTACATCTTTCATAGACCTAACCCAAATGAACACCAAAGGAGTAGCCATAGTCATGAATAAAAACCTGGTTAATACATCAGGAATCAAAGTACACAACCTCATACATGGCCAGGCCCTATATATTATCATTCCATGGCAAAAAGATGACACCCTTGAGATTCTTGTAATCTATGTCCCAAATGACCCCCAAAATAACCAATATTTTTGGGACTATGTCTTCTCAAAACTCTGAGGTCTCCCCAAGTGAGACATTATGCTCAGAGACTTCAACCTAGTTGAAGACTCACTAGACTATCTCCTCCCAAAACATGATGCCCAAGGCCCTATCTTAAAGCTCAATGAGCTTAAAATATATCTTAAACTTAGAGATGGCTGGTGAACAGAACACCCTGACCTGCTTTAATACATCTTTGCCCATCAGCACAACAAGGCAGTCACCAATCCCATATAGACTGTATTTAGACCATATCTACATTAAGGATGAGTTTTTCCCATTTAGTCACAAATGAAATATATCCCCCAAGGCCTACATACCAATCACCAACTTGTCTCAGCTAGAATATTAAGCAAAACAATGCCCTTTGTTGGTACAGGAAGGTGGTCCATGCCCCTCTTCATTCTGAAAGACAAGAAACTTAGCAATAAGATTATTGAGCTGGGTAAAACCCTTCAACAAGAAATTACCTTATCAAAAAATCAATAAACCATGGAATCCAATCCCCAGGCTGTGTTCAGCAGATTCAAAAACAGCACAACCAGCCTATGCTGCATGAATACTAAAACACTAATACCTATGAAGGAGAATAAACTGTCAACCCAGCTCAAAGCTACCATGAACGACCCAGTGGTGCAATAATCAATATTTGGTCTGATTTTAATATTATTTACATATATAAACCCACATAACATCATGAACTTTAACATAATTATCATAAAGCCCATCTCCTTTGCTCAACAGGATAATATTCTTATTCTCTGCTCCTCTAGTTTATCTATGAGGCAAATTGCTTCCAAAACCCTGACATCGCAAGACAACTACCAATATGGTTCCATTAGATGAATTGAATAAACTCAACAATCACCTGTATGCAAATTGCTTGAGGGAAAAACACCTCATCACCTCAGTAGGTCAAATAGAGACAATTGCCACTAGGAACTCACTCCTCCACAGACAACACAAGAACTGCCCTTGTAATCCCTGCTCACAAGACTGAACCCTCCTGAACTGCAACAAACCTTTTAAATGTGCACAACTAGCAAAAGACATACTTCTGTGTATCCTTCTGAAATGGCACTCTAAAACAAGCTCACCCCCTTATTCTCTCAACATAGTGCCAGAGTAGCTCACTGGGAATGAAGGTAATTACAATAAATAACAAGACAAGATCTTCAATCCTATCTTCTTCTCTCCAGACTCTCTAGAAACTGGTTTCTGAGCCTTTGTACTACTGGACTCCTCCTGCAGCTCATCAGCCTATCAGTCTCCTACACTACCCAGTGTACCCCCACAATTAACCAGCATCATCATCACTGGCACACACAAAGGAGATAGAGATGGTGTAGAGAATGAGATTCCTCTAGGCATATATCATGCATATTTCAACTCCTGACGATTGGTACAGTGTACAACTTACTCCCTATGACTGCCCTGCAAAACATGCCAGAGGTGTGACACTTTCCTGCACTATGTGACACATTCCCATGCATGCACCTTGCATGCTCTTCCCACAATCAGTTGCACTATGTTGCACAGTATCCTGGAACTTCCATCCATTGTCCAACCAGTTCCCTGGTGCATCCCTTCTTGTTTATTCTCATTATCAGACCATATCTGGCATTGTATGATACTTTATTTCATCATGGACTCTTACTTTACCTCACTTACATACATACAGTGCTCCCTATTTGCTTCTGAGCTGTCATATCTGCATATCCGGATCTCAGATCCGATCCATATCTTATCTCCCTCCAACATCTTGTCATCCATTCTGTCCACTCATCCGGTCTGGTCCACAATTCATTTGAATCCACAACCAGCGCTCGTCTCCTTTTGGTAATCCCTTAACTCTGGTATTTCGGTTATCTGTATATCTGTCCTGCTCCCTGATCTGTTACCTATGCTTCATTTCCATTTCATTATTTGTGATCCATTTCTACTTATCAATAGACTATCCATATGCTTCATACATAGCCTCGGACTCTGCTGATTGATCATTCTGTTAGATACCTATAGTATATAACCTCCTGTAACTCTCTGTAGTACCTCAGTTCAAATATCATCTTAGTTCTACTCATTCCTGTCCTCCAGACTTGAGTATCTTGTCACCCTCTGAGACTTGGGATTGATTCCTATAGTCTATTGGTATCTGCCTCTGTCTCTGACAGTCCATTACCATTAGTTTCTAGTCTGGACTCGTCTGGATTAGCCTTATGATACTTATCCTGCATCTGGAAGTCATCTGGATCTGCTACGCTACTTGTCTGCCCTTCCGGACATGTTAGTCTTGCCTTCCTGAAATAAGGGGCAATACTTGGGTAAGGGGCACAGCACACAAGCTGAGGCCAAAGCCCTTTGGATCCAGTTATCTCTTGAGTATGACCTTAACATGAGCCCTGGGAGTGCACCTAGGCATAGCTTACCTGTTGCCTAGGAAGTGTGCAAGTACTTAGAACCACCAATCACCTACCACCATAGTCATCATCTGGAGTTAGAATCTATCATGAGTTAGCATCCCTCAGTCATTACCCTAGTCCTCAGCACAGTCTACCATCATCAGTCACTATTCAGCAGCCTCAGTTTATGTCTTGATGACATTCACCAGTCTTTACACATTTACACACAACTTGTGCCTTATTCCTACACTTCATGCACCTATGTGCTGCATATTTCTGCATGCACTTTCATCACACTTCACCAGAGTTGACCTGGTGTCACTTTGTAGATCTTTGCTTTCCTTGCTTCCCTCAAGGGTTGAACATATTGCTTGGCACATTTCAATCAACACTTAGGGAGTTAGAGGCTTTTCTCTCACCCCAGAGTGAGAGCCTTCTTTCTTTTTTCTGCTCTGCAAGCCAGCAGAGTTGTTGAACCTTCAGTGGAGTATGGTTTGGCCCTAATTATCACCAAAATACCTCCATCAATTCCCAGAATATCTAGCCACCCTCAGCACTGGAGAGATAGGAGCCATCCTATCAGCTGTAGCCTTCATGTCTGTAACTGTGCCCTTACAGCTCATGATTAAATCTCCTAATCTCTGGAAGAACTTAATGACAAACCTCATCAGACAGGGAGACACAGACTGGTTGGACCATCCTAACAAAGACTTAATGATATCATTAGTCACAAAACTGAGAGCATAATGTGCACTAACCACTCTGGTAGATATTGATGCACCAGTAGATACAACCAACATTAAAGGAGCCACTGCCCTTGCAAAGTCAGGCATAATGAAAGATGTACATGATAACATCACAATAACAATTGACTTACTACTCAGACTGTCTGGTACAAAACTATGTGTGGGAACCCAGCACCTCTTCTACAAAACAATAAGAAACTTGCAGATATCTATGAAATAACAAAGACTGACCACTATGAACATGGCGATGACATTGTATGCAGTATACAATATTAATGGAGTAGCCCCAATGACTGACTAGGTCTGGCTCTTAATTCAGAGCTGAGACATTCTGAGAAATGTTTGTGGATTCCTATGAAAAAGCCTACATGGTGCCTATAAAATAGGTAAGTTCTGGGATAAAATCCCACACTGTGAAACCAGGGGACTATGCAGCCTTTGCAACTCACCAGAATCCATGGAGCACATTCTCCTCAACTATGACAAGTCCCCAGCATCAGGTATAACCTGGAAGGCAGCCAGTGATCTATGGTGCAAACACAAGTCAAGTTGGCCCAAAATACAGTTCAGTACAATCCTGGGATGCAATCTAGGAATGCTCCATGATGTAGAAGGGAAAGAGAAACTGGGAGTGTCCAGACTGTTCAAAATCTTAATTTTGGAATCTGCACACCTTTGGAAGCTTAGATGTGAAAGAGTGATTAAAATCAGCAGAGTTAAGGAAAAATTTCATTCTGAGACCAAAATCCTCAATAGATGAATCTATACCATTAACATGAGACTAAAGTTTGACAGGCTACTCACCAACTCAATGAGATACAGAAAGAAAGCTACAAAATAGACATGGTCCTAAAGACCTGGAGTGGCCTTTTAAAAAATGAAGATAACCTTCCTGATAACTGGATCCGAGAATCAGGGGTTTGAGTGGGTACAATGCCTCACCATCCCCCAGGATGTAATAGGTAAATCTGAACAAGGCATTAATTTTCACACTGCATCTGCGTACATAAAGTATTTCCTCTGGGTGACTATTCTATTCACTAAAGTGTATGAAACCCCCATGCCCCAAATGTGTCTGCTAGAATTAACCTTATCAGTTGCTAGTTAACAATATTGTTCCACCAAAAAATAAAAATAAAAATAAAAGTTCCCAATATCCTCCTACCTAATGTTAGCTGGTGTTGTCCATGATACACATTAAGGCAAGACTCATGGAGGTGGCTGTTACAAACTCGGATAGAGCATTGTTCCAATAAAGGAGTCAAGATCAGGGTCGATCAAGGACAAGGCCTTATCAAGTCAATGCCACCCTCAGGAGTGATTGTCTAGACTCCCGCAGGATCTAGAGTTCAAAGAGGACACAGGCTAGCCTCCTTCCCAAGGAGCTAGAGTTTAAGTTATCAAAAAGAACCAAGTAGATTCAAGTTAGAGAAAATACAAGCAGTAACTAGGATTTATATACATAAAGGAATCATGCACAGACCAAGTTGGGCAAAGGGTAACAAGTACTAAGAAAGGAAGGTTCATGGGAAAACAAAGTATGAGTCAGAGATAAGGAAGACCATGAGGAAACAGCAAGGTGAAAAGGAAGCATCAGAAGTATAGCCATAAGGTGTCCACAGTGATAATGAGAAAAAGAATGGGGCACTGTAACAGTGGCCATAGTGATATGTATATGATAAAGATCATGATCCAAATCTTCAATCTACTATAGACAGTTATACAAATTGAATCATTAAGGTGATACATAGCTCAATATAGGTGGATATCAAACCTACTGGATGCTTTCCTACAGGTGCTGAGGATTCCATGCCTTTTGACACCGATACTTCTGGCATATCCTGCACATGTTCTTCACAGTCAGTGAACATATTGACTTGTAGATTTGTACACACACCTTGTCATTGGAAAGTACAGTCACTTTCTATTTGCCCTTCCTGTTAAACCTTTGAGCATGAGAATGTGAGTGCATGACTATTGGTGATGACTGTATGGCAGTATTAAGAACTGTTGTGCTCAAAGAAGAGAGAGACTGACTCAGAGGGGCTTGGCCTCAGCTCATACACTGTGCCCCTTACCCAAGTATATGCCCTTCATTTCATATGAGGTCCAATGATGGCCTGATGAAGTCTGGAGGACTTCTAGAGGAGCACAGGAAATGTCTGGAGGAGTGTGGGAGAGTTCTGGAGGAATGCAGGAAGTGCTCAGGAGAGTTTCCACTGCAAGGTAACACTTCTACAGGAAACAGGACGGAAGGACAGGAGGACAGAGGATGGAGGACGGAGGATGAAGGGCAGGACATCCAGAGGCCCAGAAGGAACAGGGGCTACATTGGATGGAGTCCAATGTAGAAACAAACAGAGGTAGACTACCCTAAGGTAGAGTCAGAGAGACAGGGATTGGACCTAAGTTCAGAAAGAGGGTAAGTGTCAGAAAGACAAAGCTCCAGCCTAGGGAATCAATCCCTAGGCCTGATGGATAGGACACACTTTAGGTGCACCAAAGTCTGAGAGAGGATTGGGCAAGTAGAGCAAAGTCTAAGATGATATTCAAACTGAGGAACTACAGGAGTATCTACAGGGATTATATACTGGAGAATATCTGAGGGGATCAGTAAGCAAAGGAGCAAGGCTATGTATGAGCACATGGAAACACATTAGTAAGTAAGATGGAACATAACTAAATGAACTTGGAGATGAAGACTCATACAAGGATCAATAAGCAGGATGGACAAGAGGTAACCAAAAGCCAGAAAGGCAGAGATGTCTAAATGGCAATAGGTGCAGGATGTTGGACAGAAGGTGGGAATAGGTCCAGAGATCTGGGGATCTGGAAGATGAGGTGGATACAGGACCAGGATATGAGGAGGTGGATATAGTCTGGAATCTGAGACAAGGTGAAGTCCAGATGTCTTGCTAGATGGAGTGTGCATAGGGTGAATGGGATAGGGGGGTATGGATCAGGCTAGCAGTGGAGATCTGATGGTCTGGAGCTCAGGGGTAATTAAAGATGTAGTGGTTGTGAGATACTACCAGGTGTGTTGCATATCTTGTCCTACATATTCATTAACAACTTTCAGAGAGCAATGTTGATTGTGATACCAGCCTTTAGTTTGTGGAGTATCCATGCATATTTAAATGAGTCCTTGCTGAGCTCAGCATTTTCCCTTTCATTTTTGATGGTATGCTTGTTGATAGTACATTGAGTGACTGGTAATGATAGATTTATCTCAAAATCCATAGAGTGTAGTCTCCACTCTTAATCTGACAATCTGACTACTACATATATCTCAGTGATACTTCAGCTGCCCACATATAGATATAGTAAGTCATAGTTTGCAGCCTCATTGAGTTGGACAAGCACATTAATGGGACTCAGAGTTGATTTCTAAACTCACTAAAACATTGCTAAGACTTGGTAAGACTTGGTAAACTATCAGTAAAGTTTGAGAACAAACTCGGCCATAGATGGCCAGCACAGATTGGACTTTGAAACCATACTTGTGCATTTGTGAGTGATAATGTGAGTAGTGCACATGATAAGGGACATAGGAATATAGTAACTAGTCTGTCAGTCTCCACCTGCCCAAACAACAGAATTCCAGCAGGCTATATGTACTACATGAGGAGGGGAACAATGAATAAGTACCAGGAACCAGACCCATCAGACAAGTGCACAAGTGAACAAAAAAACATGTGCTGTGGGGAGGGAGGAGGGGGGACTCATTAATAGTGGCACATGTGCTTGAGGGAGTGGGCTGAGGGCTGATGACAACAGAATAGGTCAAGCAACCGGTGGTGGGGAGCAGAGAGAGGGCCATTGTCATCAGCGTAAGGGTCATCATAGAGGTCACCATCTGGGTCATCAACTGGACTGCCCCTGGTGCCAGTGAAATGAGGAGAGGGGTGATGTGAAGGGGGAAGGTAAGCTGGGGGACTGCGCTGAGCACCAGTGTCAAGTTGGTTCAGCGGAGGGAGCTGAGAGTCTTGGAGAGGGGGCTGAGGGTTTGGGAGAGGGAGCTGAGGGGTCAGTTGAAGGAGGTGAGGGGTCAGTTGAAGGAGGCAAGGGTTTGGTTGAAGGAGGTGAGGGAATGGGGGAATGGGCCAAGCGCCAGTAGCATATGGGCTTGGGGAAGGGAGCTGGGTGCCAACAGCAGTTTGATGGGTGGAGGAACCAGCCCCCCATGTGGATGAATAAGTGCATAGAAATCCACAGTGTGGCTGACTCCTGGCTGGGAGGTGAAAATTTTGGCACTGCATGTTGCGTGAGTGATGGAGTTCATAGTGGTATTGATGTTGTTGTTAGGGAAGTGAAAGTTGATGGAGTTTGTAGTGGTATTGGTGTTGTTGTTAGGGGAATGAAAGTTGATGATGTTCGTGGTATTATTGGTGTTGTTGTTAGGAATGTTGATTTTCAGGGAGGTGATAGATGAAGGCACATTGGAACCAGTTGCCAGTGGTAGCATCCAGGGAGGGCAGCACAGCTGGGATGGTACAGTGGCTCAAAAAACTGTCCACATGTTTTGACATTTTTCACTATCTATGATATTGTGTGAGAACTCACAAATGGCTCAAGGACATGGTTATACCACATTGTAGTATGGCTTCAGGGCTTTCATTTGAGCCCTACACCGTGGGAATCGGTGGAGATATGGTGGAGACATAAGGCTTACAAAATCATGACTCATGCGGACAGTTTTTTGAGCACATATTAAAACTATATAAATCATCATTTATGACACCATAACAATCATGCCACCATTAAATAAACTATAAAGTGGTGTCATTATGTCATTTTAAAACCATATCTAACTATACAAACCAAAAATTTCCATATGTCATGGTTATATTCACCATGAAAGCCACCCCCCTTGCTCAAAGGGATAATATCCTCTCTTTTTCCTATTCTGGCCTCTCTGCTTGTCAAATTTCCTCTAGAACTGGAGTATCCAAGTCCACTGTGGCCAAGTTCATCAAAGAAAGTCACACAGACAAGGAAAACTTCTGTGAAGGGTGTCCATCCAAGCTCACCTCTACTGATAGGAGGGCTATTATTTAACATATCACTACAGGAAAGGCTGATAATGCTGTCCAGGTCACCTATTACATCAATTCCACCATCACATTCCCTGTCTCTTCACACACTGTGAGAAACATTCTCAAGACAGCTCATCTCAGGTCAGTAACAAGGAAGAAAAGGCTCTCCTCTCTATCACACATATGCAGAGAGGACTAGCACCCTTCTTTTTCACATATATACCTTGCCATCTGACCCAATCCTATTTATTGTGGTCTTATATGATCATATAATATGCTTCCAGTCCATGTAATCCAATTCTGATGGGCTAAGGCAAAGGTTAGTCATCTCTGTTTATGTGTGATAGAGAGGAGAACCTTTTCTTCCTTGTTACTGACCTGAGATGAGCTGTCTTGAGAATGTTTCTCACAGTGTGTGAAGAGACAGGGAATGTGATGGTGGAATTGATGTAATAGGTGACCTGGACAGCATTATCAGCCTTTCCTGTAGTGATATGTTAAATAATAGCCCTCCTATCAGTAGAGGTGAGCTTGGATGGACACCCTTCACAGAAGTTTTCCTTGTCTGTGTGACTTTCTTTGATGAACTTGGCCACAGTGGACTTGGATACTCCAGTTCTAGAGGAAATTTGACAAGCAGAGAGGCCAGAATAGGAAAGAGAGAGGATATTATCCCTTTGAGCAGGGGGAGTGGCTTTCATGGTGAATATAACCATGACATATGGAAATTTTTGGTTTGTATAGTTAGATGTGGTTTTAAAATGACATAATGACACCACTTTATAATTTATTTAATGGTGGCATGATTGTTATGGTGTCATAAATGATGATTTATATAGTTTTAATATGTGCTCAAAAAACTGTCCACATGAGTCATGATTTTGTAAGCCTTGTATCTCCACCATATCTCCTCTGATTCTCATAATGTGGTGCTCAATCCAAAGCCCTGAAGCAGCACTACAATATTGTATCAGCATGTCACTGAGGTCTTTATGTATTCTCACACAATATTGTAAATAGTAAAAAATGCAAAAACATGTGGACAGTTTTTTGAGCCACTGTAATAGTCTGATGGTTGGAGACAACATTAGTATGACCTGTGGGTGTGGTAACATGAGCTGAAGGCATGGATGCAGGAGCAGGAGCAGGAGCTTCTAACTGCCATAAAAAACTGTCTTCCCAGGTGTGAGGTTGAGAGGTAGATGATGGGACTGAAGGACTTGCTGAAACTGAGCTTGTGCCAAAAACTTCCCTGTTGTAGTAATCCATCATGCTGATGGCCCACAAGCTGTGCTTGAACAAATGTTCTAGGTAAAAGTCATAGTCTTGACCATATCTGATCTTTGTGGCTGATCCAGTTGCCATGAGCTCCTGGTCATGTGTCAATAAGAAATGTGCCTGCGAATGCAAAGGTATCAGTATACATGGAAATTCAAAGAGACCATGCTGAGGAATGTAACACAATGTTAGTAGTCACTTACCACAATAGCAGCACTAGCACTAAGACCCTCCATTACACACTGTGTGTCCCAACAATGACCCCTAGCCTTTGGATGTCCCTTTGTTTTCCCAGAGAGTGAAGCCTTCCTGAATATCTCAACACAGATAATCTGATGGATGAAGTCAGTGTCTGTATATTGCTTTGAAAGCAGCTGAGGATGTATTGCTTACTTTGACCATGATGGGTGTTTTGAGGAAGTCATTGGGAACCGTTGCAGACAGATTTGTGAACAGGATGGGGGCCAGATGTGTATACCCATTGAAGGTGAGGACTTTGGACTATGGGAGAAACAGACTACTACTAGGGGAACTCTATAGCAAGACCTGGATGTGAGACAGAACTCAACCCAAAGGACAGCTACTGAGAGAGAGTTCTCGAAATGACTGAGGGAGACTCTGAAACTGAATGGGCACTAGAGGATACATGAAGTGTGAACACTGGGAGAAGTGCGGTTGAGATACACTGTCCTGCATGATTTGGGAATCATGCAGAACATGTATATGACATATTATCCCATGTTTCCATAGTCTGTTAGCTTAGTCCTCAGACTACACAAAATGTACTTTGAGTACAGACTCAAGTGCAATATTTCACTTTGCATGCTCCAATCATGCAAAAATATGGTGTGTTGAAGAAAAGTCAAATATGATGAAGAAATCATATATTGACCTGGTCAAAGTTGATAGTCATACAAAAGCTTAGGTTATTGCCTATCATTTGGCTTATTTACTTTGACTAGAAATAACCAAGGAGAAAAGATAAAAGCCTACCAAAACCCTATCTAAAAAGCCAGTGTTTTGATTTGTTCTGTCTTATGATTTATTCTACTTTGTTTTCTTCATATTTTTCTTTCATTTCTTTACCTACTTGATTCTTTGACCTCCCAGAGACTCCACAAAATGTACCTGCAGGGTATGATGTCATGATGATGTCATATAGCTCCACAGAAATTTCTGGAATATTCTGTTGGATACTATGAAGTCATCTATGATGTCATAGTGATGTCATTGGATGCTAGAATGTTCTGCTCTACTTGGCTTCACTTTTGCTCCACTTTGCTCCACAATGAGGTCATTTATGATGCAACTCTGATGTCATTTCTCTTTCCAACCTTATTTCTTGGTACTATACAGTTTCTCCCATCTCATGTATTTAAGGAGAGCACTTCTCCACCCACAAAAAATAAGAATCTCTTTTATCATTTAAAAGAACCTCCACTTCTTCCACTTTCTCTGACATTGACACTCTTTGTGTTAGCCAGGAAGTGCAGACCAAGTACATTTGGTTTACTTGCTCTGAGATCATTTATTCTTTTCTTGACTGTACCTGTGCTGTCTAGTGTGCATCTGACATATAGTTTCAGAGGACTAGAAGTATCAAGTCAAGCCATATTATCTGTGCCTGCAGATTCCTTTGTTGGATCATCTGCTCTTATATCATATCATCTTCCTTGGATTAAACCCTTTGCATTTAGGCAGGGAGATCCAATCAGCTTCTACCTAGTTCCCTTTGATAAGTCCTTTAGTATATCAAGGCAGGGGAATATCTAGCATTATTTGCTACCTAGTTCTGTGCATAGTACACACCTATTCTTTATTTTCTGTCTAGTCAAGTATAGGACTAGAGAGACTTACTCACAAACTCTATTCTCTATCTAGTCAAACACAGGACTAGAGAGACTTACCTACAGAATCTATTCTATTTGTCTAGTCAAACACAAGACTAGATAAAGTTTTATCTACATACTCTACATTATCTGTCTTGCCAGATAAAGCTAGGCTTGTATTGTAGAACCCCTATTTACAACCAGGTAGAATAAAACCACCAGGCTGTATAGCAGGTAACCTCCCACAAATGCTGCGTTATCTACCATGAAAGAAGAAAAGTCATAGACCACGAACTTGAGATTGTTGGCAGCATTCAGTCTTATCAAAAGTGTAATTGTGGTGTCATTGCCTTTTGACCACTTTTATATAAGACACCTCAAGTAAGAAGACACCGCTCATGAAATTAGTCCATTGTGCAACATCAGCCCTTCAACAATCATCAATGTGATTAGAAGTAGTGATCAGCAACACTTATCAACTATAAAATATTCCTACTTCTTGTCCAACAGTGACCACCCAAAAGCCCTCTGGTGTTAGACCTGTGCATGGCATAAGGATCTCACTTGGCTTGGGAATCTATAAAGTAGGATGCGACGGGTGGGAATCATCTCACTAGCTCGCATGGCTTTCGCTTATTTTGCGTATTTTGCTAAAGGCCACATGGGAATGCTTAGCTCACTTAAACCTTGATTTGGGAATCTTGCATGGCCCAGTCATGGGTTTTCAAGCTCCAACTTGATGCTGTTGCCCATTCAAGTGCAGCACATGTCAATAAATAATTGATGAAAATTTGAATGAGAGCACAGGGGAATGGGGGAATGGGCCAAAGGTGTGAGCAGAGCAAGCACTTTTGGTCTGTTCCCCCATCCCCCTATGCTCTCATTCAAATTTTCATCAATTATTTATTGCACATGCTAGGATGCAGCCAAGGCCAGGAAGCCAAAAAGGAGCACAGAGCACTCCATTTGCTTCCTGTGCAGAAGGCACAATGGGTGTGAAGCTAGTCACAAGTATATGAGAGGGAAGTTGTGGAGCTGTTGTGGTTGCAGATTCACATGTGGATGAGCCAGCAGATGGAGCAGATGGGATGGTATGATGCCCTGAAACAGGCACTGATATTATTTGGCTCATAGGCATCGAGCACGAGTGCAATGATTGAGACAAAGTAATAGTCTCCTCTGCAGTCTTCCACCTCCAAGTTATAGTGTCCAACAATGAACCTGTTCTTGAGCATGATCCTGTAAGTGATTTGGAAGATAGATATGTACATATCTGAGAGGGTCATGCCCTCAAGCAAATGGTGGAGGTCTTGAATGTGATCATCAGGGATGACAGCAGGTGGTGACAGACTGTGTGACATGGCAGATTTGACAAGGAAACACTCAACAATGATAGTAGAAGGCAAGATAATAGATGAAAGTTTGTGGGTGCAACTTGAATGATTAGTCACAGTATGGCATAGGCCCCAGTCAGCATCCTGTGAGTATTGTGTAGGGATTAGTCACATATAATAAAATATTCATTCAAAAATCATACCTGGTGTGCTATGTGGGTCTGTGAGATATGTGGGATTCTGGCAGACATCAAACTTGGCAAATTCACAGCAATTTGTTCCTCCAGTCCATCCAGAAAATAGGATCATCAAGGGACAATAATGGACTCCCCACCACTAAAAGTATCTCTAAGGTAGTCAAACACAGGGTACTGGTTCAACAAGCAGCCAGTAGCAAAGGGCGCTGTGACAATCATATTCCCACTAGGCTTGCAATGGCCATCTTTTGATATAGGTGATGGAAAGCTACAAAACCATCAACCGCTTTTCCCACACTCAACCCGCTCCAGATGCATATTCCTGCACTCTGTGGACCCATGCATTCACTCCCGCACTGCGCGCATACCTGCAGTTGATTTCCCACGCCTTCGGACTACCTTACAGATGTCCCGTGTCAGTCCATTGTCCATCCTACCTCATTGGTACATATTTTGCCTTGCCTTGTGTGTTGTAACAAGTGTTGCAGCCTTATTACATGTCTTTACATATTCCTACTGCCTGTCTGTCCTGTCCCTTCCGTTTCCGAGAGGGTTAGCTAGTATAAAGTGCCTAGAGTGACTACTTCATATTTACTTCCCTTCTGCAGTATTTCCTTCCCTTAGGTTTTACTTAGGAGCAGTCACCATTAGTGTGCGCTTTTTAGCCCCTATTGGTTACCTTATACCTGGACACCTTACCTTGACTTTCCTTACCTGTGCAATCAATACCCTTGCCCTCACTTGTTACCCACGCCATTCCTTAAGACTTCCCTACCCTAGCATCTTGCACTTCCGCATCAACCGCTCATCGACCACTCATCAACTACACTTCCACATTCCCGTGCTCTACATACCCGCGCTCTACATACCTGTGCTCTACATACCTGCGCTCTACATACCCGCGCACTTGTTCCCGCGCTCTGCGCACTTTCAGGTCTTTAGTATCATCGGCTGTTCTCAGTAGCAATTCCCTTTAGGGTCGAACGTTCTTGCTTGCAAGTGTAGCAGCTAGGCAGAGCATCAACCTACAACAATATTTTTGGTTAGGCACTTTAACAAGTGTATAGCCATTGTTGTGTTTGCACAGTGCTGTGAAACACGTCTACAAGGTCAGTCTTTGTATATGTAGTGTAGCTAGAGAAGATTCAATCGAAAACACTCACCTTTTGTAAAGCAATGGGTGTTAATGAGCATCAGACTCTCAACACACTCAGAAATGATACTGCCCTTCCTCCTGGCTTTGACAAAGATGCTGATGAATACAGCTTTGGTGATGTGTGCAATGGGACTGATTCGCTCCCCATCAGTCATGCTGGTGGGGAGTTCAATGACCTCACAAGGGATGTCCTGGGAGATGTCTGGAAAATGTAAGTGTCAGTACTAACTGTCAGATACTGACAAATACCTTCATCAATAAACAGGACAGTGTTTGTGGGGTGCAACAATGGGTCAACAATTGTACATGTCAAGATCATGTTCTGCATAGAAATGTGGCATTCACTGAGCAGATCCCCATAATGAGTGACATGTACCTTGTCTGGAGCCTACAGAAAACAAGGATGGGCTTCCAAAGTTTACAATTAATATCACAGTGAGTATACTAATGAGATGTTGGACTCAAATGGTAGCAAGTGGCCGATGACTGTTGTAGATTCTTTCTGTAAGTTGTTACTGATTCATAGCTTTGGCAATCATGTCATTTGTTATGCAGTTGCTGAAAAAGTGTTACTTCAAATCTTGTCTATGGACCATACTATTGCCTCCACACTTGTTCGCCAAGGAGTGCTACCTTGCTCTCTGATATCCCCAGCAATGGGCATAACTATGGAAGCTCTTGAATTGTATCACATGGCACATATTAGAAGCCCTCATTTTTGCATCCAAACATTTGTCAAAACTATGTGTGATCTACATGGAGTATGTTTTCAAACTGTCCACACTTTGTGCCTAGTGCTAACTAAACACATAGGTCGAATTTCACCACATCTATCACACCAATTTTGCATCACCTTTGATGTGTACCTTCAAATAAAGCTGACATGGTAATGAAATCTATCCAGCGAGACTCACCTAACTGGCATCTCAGACATACCTGTCTGGCTTGTTCTTATGTGCTGGCTGATGAGGAACAGCTGACCTTCAAAATGCTTTACACCATGGACAAGAATGATTCATTGAAGCAGGTGATTCGTCGAACTCTCAACAACAACAACTTGGACTCTGTTGGCATATCCTCTGAACTCCCTACTGGCCAACTACTCACCAGCAACCACTACCTGTCTTGTAGTTTTGTCAACCAGTTTGCCCAGAACTTGCTATCAGCAACAAGTGATGATGTGAGTCATCAACATACTCCTTAGGTTGTTACAATTGACTGTTTGTCAGAACTTGGTACCACCAGAGAATTTGTGCAAAGGAAGATGGAAAAATATGGACAATACTAAGATGAAGAAAGCTTGGGGCATATATGATTAAATGGGTGTTTTCATTGCAGTCTGCTGACATGATTTCTGTCTCCTCATTGCAGACATGGTACAGAGTGGGGAGCTGTAAGTGATTACACTGTTCTCATATCTATTTCTGACAACTTTCCTTACAGTGCAAAATACCCCTTAGCCGTGGTTGCTAGGATGCTCAAGGTGTTTGGTGATGATTTAGGTGCTGGGTATGATATCAGCTGTCAGTTCAAGATTACTCTCAACAACAGCTCTCTTGGACCACTCATATGCTCACTGCATCACCTGTGCCTTGTTGGCACTTTCCATGGACATGCACACCAATGATTATGTCAGCTTTCTTCCTTGACAACCTATATTAAAGGCCTGGGACTCAAGGACCTCGAAACATGTGAGCATACATTCTCAAAGTCCAATTCCCTTACATCTGCACTACATTATGCCAGTGTATTTCATCATCAACAAGCTATTGACTCATATTTTGATCACAATGACAATATTGAGGTGTATGGAAATCTTTGTAAGTAAATCTACTGTCTGCATGTGCTGGCTGACATAATCATCACATAGCTAGCCAATTTTCTGCACTGCAATTACAAGCAAGCCCTCAATATTTTAGCAACTGGCAATGTGTTACAGTAACATCTGCTTGTTTAGCCCCTATTCATTTTCCTCCCTCATGCCCTCACTGGACTCCTTCTTCTTCAGGTGATTGCCCCTTTTCTCTTTCTCAATTGATCTATCATTTTCTCTTGATCATTCCACCGACCATTCTGTCAGTTGTACCTTATCTTTGGTTCATCCAATGACTCACTGACCCTATGCCCTTGCTGTCCAACCAGTCCCTTTTACTTACTATGGTATTCTGACTTGTCATGACTCACCATGACTCATGTCCCCTTTACCCTTACTGCTCAACCAGTACTTTCTACTTACTTTGGCATCCTGACTCATTGTGACTTGTTCACCCTCTACCCTTACCACTAATATGGTAGACCTGCCCTGATCCCTTCCAATGGTATATATACCTTATGGGTAGCACTTGTATTCTCTAACTTGAATCTACTTGGTTCATACTGTCTACTCCTTGAGCCCTAAGCAAGCTCTCCTCTTTAAAGTACCTTTGTTGGAGCTCATCACTGCCAATGTCCTTAGCCTTGTAAAGAGAATGATTGACAACTCACCATCATAATCATTGATAATTGATCATAGCCCTAGCAGCTAGATTGATTGCTGTGAACTCATACCTACAAATGCTTGCTGGTTGCAGCAGGCTTGGTGCAAGCCCCAATCCAAGTTCTACATTACTCACTCACTTCATTTGCCAGTCACAGACTTAGCTTGATCATAACACAATGCTACACTACCAAAGGTCATGCAAGATCTCAAGATCAGAGACAATAGTGTGTTTGAAAGTTGGTTGGATGAAGAAAAAGCTTATCTCAATGGATTGTCTCAAGAGCCCGAAGAAGAAATGTTACAGATAGAATACTGGCAGAGGTTAGTAAATTTGAATGCAAGCAGGTGGGTTTTTTGTTGGATGTATCCTGTGTTTACTAAACTTCCATTGCATAGCCTTGTGCTCAGCGCTGCAATGACCATCTCCACAATGGACTCACACCAGGACATCACATCCTATGAAACCCAGGTTCAAACCACATGCAAGGCCAAAAGTGTGTAGTGTCATGCTGTTGAGGATTATGATAGGAACCTGAAGCTTGTTCAAGCACTAGAGTACAAACTGGAAGTAAGTACACGCTGGGTTCCAGAAAATACAGACTGGCAGAAGGTAGGGAGGCTCATAGCAAACAGGAAATACCAATGTGCACTGGACCATCTGGAGGGCCTGGTTGTTGCATGTATCTTTGAGCTTACAAAGATGAATAGGGCAGGGACAGGTAAGCTCTCTAATGCAGCCTCAGTTACTTATGCTTATTCTGGTGTGATGCCCAAGGTTATAAACTTCACAAACACATTGTGAAAGCATTGCAAACCCCCTCTGTGGCTATCAGAGCTGCCCTCAATACTTACAATGCCATTGCTAGTGCAATGGCCACTCCCCAGCAAACACTCCAGTGGGAGGAGGTTGTCAACTATGCTTTCCTTACCAACTTTGACTTGTTATGCAATGCATGGGCAGATGTTTCACAACTCCTTGGTCTTCCCTGGCATCTCACAGTGCCATGGATCTCTATTTAAGATGTGCCATGCGTGAGAGGAGATTTCACATCTTAATGTCGAGATATGACATTTGGTGACATATATGAGATGAGGACAGCTATCTGCAAGTGTGTGAGAATCACTCAAGTTCTCCAGTCCAGCTCTTGCCAATCAACTTGCCATTCACCATAACATCCAAGGGCACTTCAATGCACACCATTTGAAGTGGCTTCACAACATATCAATGCTCCCAGGTTTTAGCAAGACTCTGGTCCCTGGCTTAAGCACACATACCAGTCCAGGAGAGAGTGCCAGCATGCCAGATATAATCCCTGCCAATATACTTGCTGGCCCAATCCTCATGCCTAAGCCATCATTCCCATACATGCAGATACACATGAGGACCTGGATGAGGAAGAGCAGGAAGAAGAGTTAGCAGAAGGCCTCAAGGAACCTGCAGGATGTCCTGCTAGTTACAGATGATTTTGCATGGCTTGGACTTCTTGATGATGCTGCTGACATGGAGGAATAGTCTAGTTTACTCATTTTATTGTTGCAAATGTGTATGGCTTATGATGCTTGCTATCAAAACACACTGTTGATGTGTAGATTAACACAAGCTATATGAGCTCGTTGTGTGAGACGGCATGCATGAAGGTTCGGTGGCAAGTGGGCTTTGCCAAACTTCAGGTACATGAATATGTCAGTGCTAGGCTTGCTTACCCTATTGCTAGTAACACAGTGTAAGCTAATCATTATAAGTCAGCCTTTATCAAGGAGATATCAAAGGAGGCTTGAGCCTGCTGAATTTGCATCACTTTACAGGCATTACGTGGGAGTCACAGGTGAGTAACCATGGTAGTATATGCCAGGCTGGTCACGAGCCTACGGAGCTCAGGTGGTTACCAGTCTTGCTATTTAAACTGCTTCGTTATCTAGACAGTTGCCTGCACCCATTCCTCTCGTCACTTTGGTCTCTTACACCTTGTCGATACCCTGTTGACATATAAATCTATTTTTGTAGCTTTGCGATGTTTGTCTATTTACCTTTTTGGAAATTGCCGCCGGCATAAACAGCCAGACGCGTTTTGTCAACTACACGCGTGTTGCCCATCGCTCACTAGCATACTCAACAATGGGCAGCGCAGAGCCCACGACGCCACACGACGA